TCACCTTCCTCTGTAGCATGGGGCATTTGCTGGAGGATTCTCTGCTCCTTGAAGTCTTTAAACGACGATTTGAGGACTTCAATAGCTCAGACATAGGTGAGAGGTTTTTCGCAGGAGTGGGTGGTTGAGATTCTGTGGCCTGCGTTGTGCAGGAGGTCAGACTAGATGATCATAATGGTCCCTTCTGACCTTAATATCTATGAATCTATGAATCAAAGCAGGACCAATCCCCAACTAAATCATCCCAGCCAGGGCTTTGTCAAGCCTGACCTTAAAAACCTCAAAGGAAGGAGATTCCACCACCTCCCTAGGTAATGCATTCCAGTGCTTCACCACCCTCCTAGTGAAAAAGTTTTTCCTAATATCCAACCTAAACCTCCCCCAGGAGGTTTCATCAAGAGAAGGTGCCCTTTACAGGAAGAGAAATAAATGGTCAATCTCGCCTAGTAATCTAGTCAGAGTTTTGACACACTGCATTTGTTCTCTCACCTGAAATTATTGACAAACTGCCCCTAAGTACATTACAGCCACAACTAGAACCCTGCTGTTCTCCCATAGTACCGAAGAATAGGTGTATGGGTCATTCCTATCTTTTTTCCTGTTTCTGTCAATGGCTAAGCAGCATCATTCTGTCCCCCTTAGTTCCCACTAGGATCTTTACGTTGTATAATTTCAAAGAAAATGTAATTTTCTGGCACAAAAACCTGGAAGTCTCCAACATTAGGGCTTTGACCTTAGTCTCTTAGAAGTTTTGTTTGAAAGTTCAGAATTACTGTGATGGGGTCCTCGCACCACAGAGGCGCCTCCTACCGGCCTTCACAGGGAATAACTCTGCCAGCCAGTGTGCCCTCTTCAGGTGGTGCCCTATTATCATCTTCTCCACCTGCAGACTGGCCTCAGTCCAAGTACCGCAATGTCCTCTTCATGACTCAACCCTCCAGCTGACTCAACATCTGTATTTCCCCCTTCAAGCCAATCCCCAGTGGCAAATGGCAGAGATCCAGGCCTGCCCACTAGTCCGTGTCCCGACCCAGGGATCCTATAGATAACAGCCTCCTGCTGCATCTCCTTAACTTCCTTCAATGCTACTTCAATTCCCTGGGCCACTTCCCCACACTCTGGTCCTTCTTCGCTCTTACCTCAGGGCATTCAGCCAGCAAGTCCCAACAGCCAGCCAGGAGCTCCCTCTTGATCCCCCTTCCCTGCCAGCAACTGTTCTGTCTCCAACGCTACCCTTGCTGCAGCCTGTTAAAAACACAGTCCTCCCTCCTTGGGGTCCCCACAGCAACGGAAACTGACTCTGCCCCTACAGAGTCTTTTGTACTAGCCTGCTAGGCCCTGATTGGCCGCTCTGTGCAGCCTCCCTCCAATTGGCTGTTTCCTGTGCAGCCTTCCTAGGCTGCGTGGAGGACTCTCCTCCCCTGCTCCTTTCTGGGATGCGATATGGCAGGCCCCCGAGACCTCCATTAACCCCTTCCATGCCAGTGTGGGGTGAACACCCCATCACAGTTATCTTTTCATTCTGCTCCCTTTTGCTGAAAGAAGTCACGGTTATCTCATCTTCACCTACACAATATGATCCCATTCGTATCTTATTTCTGAATGTTGAGAATTATTTTTATTTATAAACAAGAATAATGGAGTGGCTGTTATGTTCCCAGCATACATATAGAAGTTAGATAAAAACCTAAATACTCTTGCTGGAAGGCTGTAATGTAACATGACTTTATTTTTTACAATTCAGCACAATAACACACAAGACCCAAAAACAGGGAGAGACAAAGCAGGCTGCTCCCTGAGGCAGAGAAGCACCACTCAACCCGCCTTGCTTTGAGCTGGTTCTTTCCACAAAGACTCTGCTTGCATGCTTTCACACAGAGCCTCCGAGCAAGGTTGCCAACCTCAAAGCTTGAGTTTTTGCCAATCACATGTCAAAAGTACTCAAAATCACTTAGGTTGGCACCATTGCATTCTTCCACACCTCTCCCCTCCCCAGTAATACTCTCCCCAACCCCAAAAGTCCCCCCTCAAGGTGAGTCTGGGGTGTACACACAAAGGCTGCAGAATCCCTGTTTCCTTCCCTCCTTCCCCACCTCACCCCACGCTACCCTCTCCCTGCTGCCTGCCTGGCTCTTTGTTTCCTGCCACAGACTGACAGGAGAGTAGCTCCCACGACCTCTGCTGGCTCCTCACTGAAAGCAAACAAGCATCAGGGAAGCAGCTGTGGGTAAGCCACTCCCCATCCCCCACACAACTCCACCCACTAAGACTGCCCACACGCATCACACCCCATTGGTTGTGCGAGTGCACTGCCTTGTAGCCCCTCACAGGCTTGCAGGTGCACCGCCCTTAGCGCCCACTCAGATTCTTCCCATCAGTTGCCCACCCCAGATTACTTCAAACAAAATACTCCACTTCATAGTTATGGTTTATTAATACTCCCTTTACAGAGCACAAACCACTTCTTTAGTGTGTTGCGTTCACACCCACTGTGGGGCTGTGTAAGACTCCTGACAGATTTCCTCCCACTGTTCAGGAGGCCCCAGCCCTCCTCCTGGCCTGCCACGAAATGTCTGTACTGACCGCAGGAGGGTTTGTGGTTCCAGGATCGGACTCCTGAGTCATCTCAGGACCCATATGTAAATCTGTGGTAGAGATCATCCTCAAAATCGAGGGATCACCAATCATCATCAATCAGTCATATTACTGTGTGTGTGTGTGTGTAAACCACCAATGCACAACAACCACCTTAGTGGATCTAAATATTAACAAATCAAGTAAAGTAGTTTATTAATGAATGGAAGGCCATTTCTAAAAAAATTGTTAAGGATTCAATATTGCGCCATTGAAATCAACGGGAGCAGAATCAGGCCCCACAATATAGCCCTACAGTTGATTTTCATTTTAACTCTAGAAAATGGAAAAAAATAAAGGAAAAAGAAATTAGTCTGAGAATTAGTGATGCAAATACCCAGAGGTAAACACCGCTGTGTGTATTTTCCAGTATTACCTCCTTTGTAAAGCACTTTGAGAGCTACTGATTAAAAGCTCTATAGAAGTGATCATGAAATGAGAGAGTTTCATGATTTAAAAGAAAGGAAGGAGTGAGAGCAGCAGAATAAAGACAATGGACTTCAAAAAAGCAGACTTCAACAAACTCAGAGAATTGGTAGGTGTGGTCCCATGGGAAGGGTATCTAAGGGGGAAAGGGAGTTCAGGAGAGGTGCCAGTTTTGAAAAGAGATAATACTGTATTAAAGATACAACAGCTAACTATCCTGATGCAGAAAAAAGATGGGAAGAACAGGAAGAGACCAATATGGCTGCACCAGAAGCTCTGTAATGCCTGGAAATCAAAAAGGAATTGTATAAAAAGTGGAAACAAGGACAAATTACTTTGGATGATTTCAAAAGAATAGCGCACGCATGTAGGGAGAAAATCAGAATGGCTAAAGCACAAATGAGTTACAACTAACAAAGGACATAAAAGGCAATAAGAGGTTCTATAAATACATTAGAAGTAAGAGAAAAGCAAAGGACAGTGTAGGCCCATTACTTAATGGGGAAAGAGAGCAAATAATGGACGACACAGAGACAGCAGAATTATTTAATGCCTTTTCTGCTTTCCACATTTACTAAAAAGATTTATTACCAGATGCTTACCACAATTACTATTGACAATAAGGGGGAAGTAATGCAGATCAGAATAGGGAAATAACAGGTTAAAACAGTGGTTCTCAAACTTTTGTACTGGTGACCCCTTTCACATAGCAAGCCTCTGAGTGCAACCCCCCCTTGTAAATTAAAAACATTTTTTATATATTTAACACCATTATAAATGCTGGAGCAAAGCAGGGTTTAAGGTGGAGGCTGACAGCTCGCAACCCCCCATGTAATAACCTCACAACCCCCTGAGGGGTCCTGCCCACCAGTTTGAGAACCCCTGGGTTAAAGAATATTTAGATAAGTTAGATGTATTCAAATCGGCAGAGCCTGATGAAATCACCCTACATAAGGAACTAGCTCAAGCAAACTCTGAACCATTAGCAATTCTCTTTAAGAACCACACAGAGCATGGCGAGGTCTCAGGGGACTGGAGGAAGTCAAACACACTACCTATATTTAACAAGAAAAGGGAGACCCAGAGATTAAAGAGCAGTTAACCTAACTTCAGTAACTAAAAAGATACTGGAACAAATTATTAACCAATCAGTTTGTAGGCACCTACAGGATAATAAGGTGTGAAGCAATAGCCAACATGAATTTGTCAAGAACAAATAGTGCCAAAACATTGTAATTTCCTTCTTTGACAAGGTAACTGGCCTAGTGGATGCTGGAGAGGGACGGCTGATTTGATATATCTGGACTTTCACATGGCTTTTGACACAGTCCCATATGACGTTTTCATAAACAAACTAAGGAAATATGGTCTGGATAAAATTACTGTAAGATGGGTGCACAACTGGTTGAAAAGCCATACTCCAAGAGTACTTATCCATGATTCCCATCAAAGTGAGAAGACATATCAAGTGGGGTCTTGCAGGGGTCAAGTGGGGTCTCGAGCTGGGAGACGTTGCAAGTACTTTGGAGAACAGGGTTAGAATTCAAAATGACCTGGACAAATTGGAGAATTGGTCTGAGGGTTTCTATAAAGAGGATGGTGATCAATTGTTCTTCATGTCCACCAAGAGTAGGACAAGAAGTAATTGGCTTAGTTTGCAGCAAGGGAGATTTAGGTTAGATATTAGAGAAAACTTTCTAACTCTGAGGATTGTTAAGCACTGGAACAGGTTACCAAGGGAGGTTGTGGACTCCCCACCATTGGAGGTTTTTGAGAGCAGGTGAGACAACACCTGTCCAGGATGGGCTAGTTATACTTAATCCCTGCCTCAGTGTGGGAGGATCGACTAGATGACCTCTTGGTAGATGACCTTCCAGCCCTACATTTCTGTAAAAGTAAGGAATAATAAATAATAATAATAATTAATAATAATTCGGGTATTTTCTAATTTTTGAGGTCTTGACTTTGCAACCTTAATAACGTTTTCAATGTACTTTGTGTGTGTAATTTAACATATATATTGCAGTGGCTCCTAAAGGCCACAACCAGGTTGGTCCCCACTGCCGTTGGCACTGTGCAAACACATAAGTGACAGTTCCGGCCACAAAGAGCTTTCAGGCCAAAAGACAATGTAGATCTTCTCAATAAAAAGGCTGGTGTGCAGAGGACCATCAAGGGAAGGTTCTATAACACAAATGAAGCTAAAAGGTCTAAGCAGTTTAAAAATTTTACCTTGAGTGTAAGTGCATGTGAAAGTCTCTTTTGTGTGATCTATGTATCCAAGGAAAGGAAACAAAACCAAGACACACACACAAACGAGCACTGTAGATATAGATACAAGCCTATTTGTTCTATCAAGCAGAACTATATATCTACCAGAGCAAATGAACACCCCCATTATATCACCATTACATAAATACACACTTGTATACACAGGCACTGCACTCACATGGACCTCGTTGCATCAAGCACTACACTCTTTCAGTACAGCCACACACACAGAGTTTTGTGCCAGCGTGAGACACAGACAGGCACATTTGTATATACACACACACAGATCTGCACTGCTGGCCAGGTTAGAATTCTCTCTCTGAAGCCAGGCTGCCTTTGCAAGCTCTGATGTCACAAAGGTGTCAACTGGCAACCAACGTGACTCGTAGATGTTCCCATTTGCAAGCAGCTCTTCTTTACTTTCAAGCACAAAGAGGGTGAGCTCTCTCTCTAAGCAGCCAAGTAGGCAAACCAGGGAGCTGCATGAGTGAGGGATACAGAGAGCTTCCAAACAGCCTCACAGCTCAACTCCTCTTCGGTCTTACTGGAATGAGAAAACTGCTTGCACAGGGCCGGTTCTTTGTAGCTCTGCAGGGCCTCTGCCCCAGCATTCTCTGAAGGGCTGAAGCAGTGTGGAGGAGCTACAGTAGATAAGGAGCCGTATCATGTCCCCTCCTAATGGCCACAAATCCCTGTGGCTGGTGCTTCTTTTTGGAATGGGAGTGAAGGCAAAGAGCCTGAACTGTCCAGAAAAGTGTACCTGTGAATACCTGGAAGTGAACTGCACAGGGCAGCAGCTGCAAGATTTCCCCACGACCATTCCACTGGACACAAGGCAGCTGATTCTGGCTACTAACAACATCTCCTACCTGCCATCGGTGGAGCTGAACTTCCTAAGTGACTTGGTCTATCTGGACTGCAGGGAGAATGCCATTAGTGAAGATCTGGATTTTGCCTTTATCAGTCTCAACAAGCTCATCTACCTAGACCTCAGCTTCAACAACCTCACCCGGGTCACCTTCACCACTTTCTCTCAGCTCAGTAGCCTGGTGGTGTTGAAGATCTCGAACAACCCAAATCTGGTGGAGATTGAGAAGGATTCCTTTGCCAACAACACCTGGCTGAGGCACCTGGATGTGAGCCGGACTGGCTTGACGTTCCTGGATACTAGCATTGTCAAGGATCTGCCCAATCTGAAGTCCCTGGGTCTAAGTGAAAACCTCTGGAACTGTAACTGCTCCTTCTTGGACTTCACCCTCTGGATGAAAGAGAGTGGCGTTCGCTTCCCAGGTGAGGACTTTGTGTGCCAGCCCAGGCACCCCAAGATTTGGCTGGAACTAAGCAGATGGTTCTGCTTTCTGTATTAGAATGTCACTGTTGCTCTTTCACATTATGGGCCAGATTCGCAGTTGGTGTAAAGTAGCACAGGTCCATTGAAGTCAACTGAACTGTGCCAATTTACCTTAGCCATGGATTGGGCCCTCTGACCATAACAATACACACACCATCAAATACATACAAGGGCACCCATTAATGCCTAGCTCATAGACTTTAAGGCCAGAAGGGACCATCATGATCATCTAGTCTGATGTCCTACACATCGCAGGCCACAGAACCTCACCCACCCATTCCTGTAATAGACCCCTAACTTCTGGCTGAGTTACTGAAGTCCTCAATTCATGATTGAAAGACTTCAAGTTACAGAGAATCCACTATTTACCCTAGTTTAAACCAACAGTGACCCATGCCCCATGCTGCAGAGGAAGGCAAAAAAAACCCCAGGGTCTCTGCCAATCTGACCTGGGGGGAAATTCCTTCCTGACCCCAAATATGGCAATCAGTTAGACCCTGAGCACATGGTCAAGAGCCACTAACCAGACAGCTGGGAAAGAATTCTCTGTAGTAGCTCAGAACCATCCCCATCTAGTGTCCCATCTCTGGCCGGTGGGGAAATTTGCTACTAGCAGTCACAGATGGGCCATGCCATTGTAGGCAGTCTCATCCTACCATGTGCTCCATAAACTTATCAAGCTCAGTCTTTAAGCCAGGTAGGTTTTTTGCCCCCGCTGCTCCCCTTAGAAGGCTGTTCCAGAACTTCACTCCTCTGATGGTTAGAACCTTCATTTAATTTCAAGCCTAAACTTGTTGATGGTCAGTTTATATCCTTTTGTTATTCTGTCCACATTAACCCTTAATTTAAATAACTCCTCTCCCCTCTGGTATTTATCCATCTATGTATTTATAGAGAGCAATTATATCTCCCCTCAGCTGCATACAAACAATGCGCATGAACACGCACACACGCACACACACACAAGCAACCACAAAATGCTAAACTAACAATCAAGAACGGTCTTTAAGTGATAAGAAACAAGGAGATTGCTAGACCTTTAAAATTCCTGCTCTCGCCTCAGCTGGTGCCACTGTAGTCTGTGATCAGTTCAAAGTGCCATGTGTCTGTCCTGCTGTATTACCCACAGGCAGCTCTGAGGCAAGCTCTGGATGGGGAAAGCCGCTCCTCTGAACTTCCGGATGTTTCTAGAGTTCCATTCTGTAGTGTAGTTTTTTGCTAGTGGTGTTAAATTTCTGTGTTTCTAATGGTAGATTCAAAAAACCCCTCTTAAGTGAAAATGCAAGAGGTACCATTATTCCAGCCCTGGGGCCTCACACACCATTCCCAGCCCACCTCGATTCTGACCTCTAGTACGCTGCTTTTCTGACCCAGGGCTCCCCATAGTTCTGCCAATGCATCCCCACCCTAACCTGTAAATCATCCTGATGTTCCATTTCTGGGTGTCTCTCCTTGAACATAGACAGTCATTTGGGCCAACTATATGGCAATTTTGTTCTGTGCACCACAGGTGAAAATTTCATTGAGGCCACGGCTTCACTCTATTTTCATAGCCTGCCTATATTTTTGTTACATAAGCAATACAGGCAATTACCTTTTCCCTAAGAGTAAGAGCTGTTCTGCCGGAGCAGTGGTAAACCACTTCTCTAATCACACTGACTATCACAGCACTTTTATCTCAGTCGTTTTTGCCCTGAATGCAGATACATTTTGTACAGCACTCAGTATTAAGGGCGTGATACAGAGCCCATACTGAACTCAGTGGGAGTCCTTTTATTAACTGCAGCAAGCTTTGGATCAGGCCCTACATTGAGGGGGATTGACAAAGTGTAAAATAGGACAAGTGTGATCGTACTCAGGAAAAAGAAAAGGAGGACTTGTGGCACCTTAGAGACTAACAAATTTATTTGAGCATAAGCTTTCGTGAGCTACAGCATCCGATGAAGTGAGCTGTAGCTCACGAAAGCTGATGCTCAAATAAATTTGTTAGTCTCTAAGGTGCCACAAGTCCTCCTTTTCTTTTTGCGGATACAAACTAACATGGCCGCTACTCTGAAACGTACTAAGGAAAGTATCTCTTGTGCATGAGCTATTGTGGGGCTCCCATACGTTCTCTCTCATTCTCAAGGATGCCAGAGCAAATTGACTCAATTTACAACATGAAGTCCTGGATCAGGAAAGCACATGAGCATCTGCTTAAATCCCTTTGACTCCAGTGATACTTAAGCACACTCTTAAGTGCTGTTCTGAATAGTGATGCTTTCCTAAATTGGGACCTGAAAAATGATTTTTTTCTTAAGTGACCTGAAATGCCTAAATCCAGCTGTTTTTTTTTTTCTACCTCAGATTATGTAACTGGATTGTAGCTGTTGCTTATGCACAGGGTAGAAGAGTCTCCATTTCACTTTCCCAGAGTCGTTTTGGTCCCAAGAGTAAGAGCATGTTTGAAATGTATGCTGGCTTTTCCCAACTCCAAATGTACACAAGCCCCAGTCTTTAAAGAATTACACACAGCACAGTGCTGAGAGGGGATTCTGACAATGGTAATTGTTTAAGGATTGGCTGAGCAAGACCCTCTGTAAAAACAAAGAAAGGAAGATTGGAGGCTGATGTTATTCAGGGCAGAGTTAAGGTTATTTGAGTACCTGCTTTGGGGCAGGAAGCTCTTTTGTTTGCCTGTAAGTGCTACACATGCCTATGGAGCTGTGTAAAGAACTAATCATAGTAATAACATTGTAGATAGGAGAAAGTGCACCGGAAACTTATACAGGAGTGTAAGAAACCATGTGTATTATTACAGGCACCAAAACAAAAGAGGGTTACAGCAGATGACTGGGTGCACCAGTCTTGAAGCCCCATGCAACAGCTGTGGGAAACTGGGGGCTTTGGTTATTTGTGTTTAATAATAAATGTGTTTTTCTTGCGCGAGGTCAATCTCCATATGCACATCACAGATTTCATGTGCATGTTGGAGACATTCACATGGTGGGGCAGAGGGAGAAGGAGCAGCTTCTGTTAGGACTGAGGGGGAGAAGAGGGATTTTCCCTATTAGCATCACAGCTGCTAATCATGGGTACCAGAGAGGGATGAATAAAGAGTTGACAGAAAGGGCAGAAGGCCTGTGTGTCAGCTCTCATTCTCTTCCCTGTCAGGCTTTGCTACCTTCCAGCAACACTTTGTGTGTGAAACAGGCAGGAGGTTTTATGTTTCCCTGGGACTAGGGTGAGAACTGCAGTTAAACTTTAATGCTGCAGGTAAACATATCCAGGCCGAGTGCCTTTGACCAAGAGCACCTCTCTTTCCAGCTGGGAGGGAAATAAGAAGCTCCCTACTCATGTGAGCCACTGCCATAGATACAGATGAGATGGGACAGATAAGATGCATGTTCTATGCATCCAAACCCATCCCACCAGCGAAGGGGGACTCGAGGGAAGCTGCAGCTGATGAGCAATTCAGGCAGCCCAGCTGTACTGCAAAACAATGCCCTAGCCAGGCCTGTTAAAAGCTTCTGATGCCTCATAAGGAAACAGAGCACCAACGTTTTATGCAGAGCTGTGTTTGGATCCACATGCAGAACTGAAGTTGCCCCAAGTTTGGGGGTGTTCAGGCTCATCCTGAATGTTATTCAGATACAGAGATAAAACCACACTGATTTTACGCTCCCCAGCATCCTTTATTACTAGGGACATTTGCGTGAAGATAAGTTATTTTTCTACGTTGCCTCCAGACTCCTATTTACTGTTGCTAAAGGCACACACAAGAGAGGATTTCTTCTGTGTTTCCCCTACAGATCCTGAGAACATCACCTGCTACAGCCCCGCAGCTCTATATGGCTGGTCAATGCCTGAGGTGGGGTCGAAGCTCCACTACACATGTCTTCTCCATTTATACGATACGGACTATGCCTTCCTGGGTCTGATTGGCTTCTGTATATTCTCTGCCGGCACTATGGCAGCCTGGTTGGCTGGGATGTGTGTAGTGCTATACGAATTCCACGCAACAAAGGGGGGGAATGATGACGACGAAGATGAAGATGAAGAAGCAACTATCTAGAACTAGCCTCTGAAGTCCTGGTGAATAACTATGCTGGGATGCCACAGAGACTGATACTAGACGTCCCTTTCTCTTGGTCCCCCTGGGCTTTCCCTCTATCTCCCTTTCCAGATGAGATTCTTGTGACCCAAAATATAACTGCAGGAATCCTTTTGCTGTAGTTTAACCCTCTTTTGGGGAATTTCTTCCTTCCTCCTTCTTTTCTCCAAAATTTCTTTCTCCGCCTGGGCTTGGGCCATTGACAAACTAATTGATGCTTGCCAAAAGTATGGTAAGTGCTCATCTATCAACCAGCCAGATAATTAGTACTTGTTATTTATGGAGTGCTCCAAAATAGCTAAGAACCTTACTGAATATGTAGGAAGCCATGAGCAAAGACATTCAAAAATAGGGGCCTAAAGTCAGGCTCCAAAATTCATATTTAGGCTCTTGAACTACGTGTCCTGATTTTCAAAAATGTTGAGCATTCAGTTGCACCAATGGAGATCACTGGAAGTTGCTGGGAGCTAAATGCTTTTGAAAATCAGGTTATTTATTTAGGAGCCTAAATAGGGATTGAGGAACCCAACTTTAGGCTCCTATTATTGAAAATTTTGGCCATGGCTCCTGTCCCAGAGAGCTTGCAATCTAAGTATGATTTGTAAAAGATATACAAGTTAGTCCCCAAAAGATACTGGAGATGAAGCAACCAAGTGTTACAGAAAGATCATCATAGAGTGACCTCTAGCTGATATATATGTTTAACATCTCCTTAATATTGCACGCAGGAAGAGACAATTACCTGCTGAGAGCAGCTCAGCTTAGCTCTTACTGGCTGAAACTAATAGCATGTCTCCTAGAATCTTACTTGAAAGATTAATGTAGATTGGTTTGGACATGAGCTGCTGAATAACAAACTGCCTGAAGGACAATAAATATATGATAATGATAAACGGCACTGTACTGAGTTGGGGAAGTCCAGTAGGGTGCCGCAGTGATCTGTTTGGTCTGCACTTCCTTAACAGCTTCATGAAAGATACTAATTTAGGAGGAGCTGAAAATAACTATAAAGACAGAACTAACTCAAAGAGACCCAGAGTGATTAAAAATGCAGATAGAAAATAATAATAGTTATAATAAAAAGATTAGTCTTGTGAAAATGAAACTAACACATATGGGGAGTATTATTCTTTGGATTGCAGTAGCACTTAAGGTGTCCAATCAGGGCCCCATTGGGTTAGGTGCTGTGTACATATATAATTACACAGTCCCCATCTCAAAGAGTTTACAATGAAAGGGCTAGATTCCACAGTATGCATCCGATGAAGTGAGCTGTAGCTCACGAAAGCTCATGCTCAAATAAATTGGTTAGTCTCTAAGGTGCCACAAGTACTCCTTTTCTTTTTAGGGCTAGATTATGAATCCCTCATCCCTAGTGTGCAGTTACTCAAATAAGTATTGCCATTGACTTCAGGGGGACTACTTGTGTGAGTAATTGGTCACCAATATGAACAGTAGGTTTACAGTCTGGCCTATACTGATCTGAAATCTAGATATTCAACAGGGGAGAGAAATCTAGAAAACAGAAATGTTACTAGGATACTACAAATTAGACCTGAGTTTGCACTGAGAGTGGCTTATTTGAGTTTAGTTTAAACTGATTCCTAATTGACTTAAGCAAAACTGAAATAAGCCTTGTTTAAACCAAAATCAGAGTGTCCACAAAGGCTTTTGCACTGGTTTAACTAAACTAGTTTAAAATGATGCCTTACATTAAACCAATTCAGTTTTCTCATGTAAACAAGACCAAAGAGCCATATTGGTGTGATATTCCTCCCATTCAGACAAATGTTGCTTAGAAATCAAAGGTGCCCTACTTAATTGTGAAGAATCCCTGTAGACTTCACAAGGCCTGATAAATACAGTTTGGAAAATCAACCTTTTGCAGGCATCTCCTTAGCTACTGGGAACAAAGGTCCTGATCCCACAAGCACTTCAACCATTCCAGCAAAGTTAAGCCTGTGCTTAACTTTAAGCATTTGAGTAGTCCTAAGTCATTGTTAAAGTTAAGTACAGGCAGAAGTGTTTTGCTGGATCAGTGCTTTAAAGAAGAAGGCTTGAATCCCCACTCCACCTCAGCTTTCCCACCAGCATATTTCCCTTCATATTCAAGGATGAGGTGAGGAGCTGCTGGTGCAAGAGGCAGAAGAGTTATCTCTGCCAGGTTTCCCTTTGCAGAGAGTGCCTCTGGTTTCCACTGCTTGTGGCCTTAGAGGATAGGAGAATCCAGCCCCAAAACTCTAAATATTGTACCAGATGCTATATTAAAGCTGGAATTTTTTCATATTGTATGGGAATGTTCAAAACTATTAGTTACATGTGACAGTATAGTCAGAAATTATAGGCATTGTGATACAAATCACCTCAGAGTTATGTATACAGAACATGACAGATGTAAAATGTATAGAAATAAGATCCTTAGTATCACAAGCACTGTTGATTGCCAAAAGAATCATCATCTTACAGTGAACAAGGAAAGCAACTCCATGTGTGAAACTCTGGCCTCTTGATCTGATTCAAGCAGCATCTGTTGAGGAAAAAGGACAAAAATGAGAAAATTTTAGCAAGCATGGTCAAAATTCACACATTGTCTCACAGCAATTATGCTATGACCTGCACATAGATTGTAAAACTGACTCATGAGCCTATGGCTGGAATTAACACTCAATGATCTTAAATATAATTTCATAGAGGATACGCCACAGTGTACTAAGAAAGCACTATACAGTATATATATACACTGTAACAGAATGAGCTGCTTCAAAGGGGCCATAAGACGATCCTCTTCCTCATGCTGAATAATTACAGCGCAAGTACTCACACTAAATTCAGTGGAACTACTTGCAGAAGAAGATACAACTCAACATGAGTAAAGGTATCACAATCTGGCCCATAAGGTTAAACAGAAAATAGTCAGATAGTCTTAGATACTGTTAAAATTTTACTGTTCAGTTGATGTCTCCTATCTTAAAAATGAAAAGAGAAATTTAAACATATATCACAGACAAAGACAACTTATTAGGACTCACATACTCATTAGGGACCATATGTCAGTGTCATTCTACACTGCGAAAGAAACTCAGCTTAAACTGGTTTAAAGAATACACAACACCTAAAAAATGACAAATAAAATTATACTTTCTATAAATGTTCATGAAAATATAACAGGTCTGGGTTTCAATTTTCAAAAATGACTAGTGATTTTAGATACCGCAATTTTTGGGTGCCCAATCTGAGACACCTTTAAAGGGCCTGATTTTCAGACAGGGATAAGTACCTGCCTTTTGAACATCAGGCCTGTTCAGGGTATCTCAAGCTGGGGCTGGACACTCAAAAATGAAGAAATTAGAAACCACTAGTCACTGGTTTCTTTAGCCACTTGTGATGGTTTTGTACAGTCATACTAGATTTCTGGTTGAAGGTCAAAGACATTTCAAATGGCATCAGAGGACTCCACATTCCATTTTACCCAGCCATTTCCCCCCCTTAGGATTCTATCCAAATACTCCTCTGATGAACTTTTATCAAAATCTTGGCAACCATCTTATTATGATAGCTAAAAATGTAATCGGTCACATGCAGAAGAGGAAAAACACCTGCTATTGATTAAGGAACGTATATTCTTACCATGGTCAAATTAACTCTTAGCTCGACAGACAACTATATGGACTCTATAAGTGCATGACCTCCTCTGAGTATGTAGGAAAGAAGTCTCCCAATGCAGGAAGATTAAAGGCTATGTACAAAAATTTCAAAAGTTTGCAAAGTAAAATTTGGTAGTTTGCAGGTTTCATACACACAGCATCTTCATGCATTGAATAGAAATATTTCCTGTTCCTAAAGGCTGCAATGTTTCAGTTGGGAGCACTCCAGAAACTATGGGTTCTATGCATGGTTCCCAGCACCAACAGAAAGTGGGCTCTCCAGTAGAACTTCCCCATGATTGCTCTCCTGGGGAAGGTGATGTAATCAGATGCCCTGCTGACTGTGGCATTCAGGAAGTCCTCAAGGCAAACAGAGAAAGCAAATTGTGATATGTTGGACGTGTCCACTATGGTCATTTGTATGAGAGGGAGGTTGCGCAGTTCCTCCTTTTTAAAAAAAATGCACGGTCAGAGGAATAGCAGAGACCCCGGAATGGAACAGGTTTCAGAGTAACAGCCGTGTTAGTCTGTATTCGCAAAAAGAAAAGGAGGACTTGTGGCACCTTAGAGACTAACCAATTTATTTGAGCATAAGCTTTCGTGAGCTACAGCTCACTTCATCGGATGCATACTGTGGAAACTGCAGAAGACATTATATACAGACTAACACGGCTGTTACTCTGAAACCTGTCATTATGCAAGGCACTGCATTTAGCCGTATGGAGTGGAAATCTATCAACTGCATGAAAAAACTTGTACAGATACAGACAGACATCATCTTCCTTTCCAAATGCAAACAGATGGACATCATACCAAAAGGACTGAAGGTAAAAAATCCATTACAATCTACATACCACACAGACTATGCTGACAGCTTGTGCCACACGCTCTCAAAGAAACTGAGGAATCACCTGATCAACATCCTCTACAGCAAACAGGGAAAGATTAAGAATGAGCTCTCAAAAATGGATACTCTCATAAAAACCCAACCTTCCACACAAACTTCCTCGTGGCTGGAATTTACTAAAACTAGACAAGCCATTTACAACGCACACTTTGCTTCTCTACAAAAGAAAAAGGACACTAAACTTTCTAAACTACTACATGCTACAAGGGGCCACAGCAATGGTTCCCTCAACCCACCCAGCAATATTGTTAACCTGTCCAACTATACTCTCAGCCCAGCAGAAGCAGCTGTCCTATCTCGGGGCCTCTCCTTCTGCCCCTCCACCCCCATGAACATGATACAGTTCTGTGGTGACCTAGAATCCTATTTTCAACATCTCCGACTCAAGGAATATTTCCAAAATACCTCTGAACAACATACTAATCCACAGAGGCCTCCCTACCAACACTACAAAAAGAAGGATTCTAGGTGGACTCCTCCTGAAGGTCAAAACAGCAGACTGGACTTCTGCATAGAGTGCTTCCGCCGACGTGCACGGGCTGAAATTGTGGAAAAGCAGCATCACTTGCCCCATAACCTCAGCCATGCAGAACACAATGCCAGCCACAGCCTCAGAAACAACTCTGACATCATAATCAAAAAGGCTGACAAAGGAGGTGCTGTTGTCATCATGAATAGGTCAGAATATGAACAAGAGGCTGCTCAGCAGCTCTCCAACACCACTTTCTACAAGCCATTACCCTATGTCCCACTGAGAGTTACCAAAAGCAACTATAGCATTTGCTCAAGAAACTTCCTGAAAAAGCACAAGATCAAATCCGCACAGACACACCCCTGGAACCCCGACCTGGGATATTCTATCTACTACCCAAGATCCATAAACCTGGAAATCCTGGGCGCCCCATCATCTCAGGCATTGGCACACTGACAGCAGGATTGTCTGGCTATATAGACTCACTCCTCAGACCCTACGCTACCAGCACTCCCAGCTACCTTCGAGACACCACTGACTTACTGAGGAAATTACAATCCATCGGTGATCTTCCTGATAACACCATCCTGGCCACTATGGATGTAGAAGCCCTCTACACCAACATTCCACACAAAGATGGACTACAAGCCGTCAAGAACACTATCCCCAATAATCTCACGGCTAACCTGGTGGTTGAACTTTGTGACTTTGTCCTTACCCATAACTATTTTACATTTGGGGACAATGTATACCTTCAGATCAGCGGCACTGCTATGGGTACCCGCATGGCCCCACAGTATGCCAACATTTTTATGGCTGACTAAGAACGCTTCCTCAGCTCTCGTCCCCTAATGCCCCTACTCTACTTGCACTATATTGATGACATCTTCATCATCTGGACCCATGGAAAAGAAGCCCTTGAGGAATTCCACCATGATTTCAACAATTTCCATCCCACCATCAACCTCAGCCTGGTCCAGTCCACACAAGAGATCCACTTCCTGGACACTACAGTGCTAATAAACAATGGTCACATAAACACCACCCTATACCGGAAACCTACTGACCGCTATTCCTACCTACATGCCTCCAGCTTTCACCCTGACCACACCACACGATCCATCGTCTACAGCCAAGCTCTGCAATACAACCGCATTTGCTCCAACCCCTCAGACAGAGACAAACACCTACAAGATCTCTATCAAGCATTCTTACAACTACAATACCCACCTGCGGAAGTGAAGAAACAGATTGATAGAGCCAGAAGAGTTCCCAGAAGTCACCTACTACAGGACAGGCCTAACAAAGAAAATAACAGAACGCCACTAGCCGTCACCTTCAGCCCCCAACTAAAACCCCTCCAATGCATTATTAAGGATCTACAACCTATCCTGAAGGATGACCCAACACTCTCACAAATCTTGGGAGACAGGCCAGTCCTTGCCTACAGACAGCCCCCCAACCTGAAGCAAATACTCACCAACAACCACATACCACACAACAGAACCACTAACCCAGGAACCTATCCTTGCAACAAAGCCCGTTGCCAACTGTGCCCACATATCTATTCAGGGGGCGCCATCACAGGGCCTAATAACATCAGCCACACTATGAGAGGCTCGTTCACCTGCACATCCACCAATGTGATATATGCCATCATGTGCCAGCAATGCCCCTCTGCCATGTACATTGGTCAAACTGGACAGTCTCTACGTAAAAGAATAAATGGACACAAATCAGATGTCAAGAATTATAACATACATAAACCAGTCGGAGAACACTTCAATCTCTCTGGTCACGCAATTACAGACATGAAGGTCGCTATCTTACAACAAAAAAACTTCAAATCCAGACTCCAGCGAGAAACTGCTGAATTGGAATTCATTTGCAAATTGGATACTATTAATTTAGGCTTAAATAGAGACTGGGAGTGGCTAAGTCATTATGCAAGGTAGCCTATTTCCCCTTGTTTTTTCCTACCCCCCCCCCAAACGTTCTGGTTAAACTTGGATTTATGCTGGAAATGGCCCACCTTGATTATCATACACATTGTAAGGAGAGTGATCACTTTAGATAAGCTATTACCAGCAGGAGAGTGAGGTGGGAGGAGGTATTGTTTCATGGTCTCTGTGTATATAATGTCTTCTGCAGTTTCCACAGTATGCATCCGAAAGTATGCATCTGTAGCTCACGAAAGCTTATGCTCAATAAATTGGTTAGTCTCTAAGGTGCCACAAGTACTCCTTTTCTTTTGCGGAATGGAACAGTAGGGGCTGCTGTAGGTCTGCCATGTGAAACTAGGCAGAGCTGTTTGTGACCCTCAACCCAGAAATGTGTAATGGCTCAAAGCAAGAAATCCCAACCCACTAAAATCCTTTAAATGGCATCCACAGTTCTTCATGGCTGTCCCTTCACTGCATACCTGCTTTTCATCACCTAAACCCTGATTTCCCAGCTAGGGTTACAGCTCCATAGTTCAGCTCAGCACCTAGAAAATTCTCCAGCAGGAGTACAGCACCTCTTAGATTGGCTACCAAGTGACAATAAACCCATTCCTTAGGCCCAGCCAGCAGGATTGCACAAAATTGTGTGAATGCCATCAACTCCACTCCTTCCTCAAGGGAGTCAGCCTCTGGTTTTATTTGGCCTCTGGCTGCTGGGATCTCACGGCCAACATGCTGCTGTTTTAAGCCAATATTATGAGACAAACCTTTCTACTCTTAACCACCTCTAGTAGCCCACCTCAGTGAGTCCCAGCCAACCAAGAATGGCTTCTTTAAGTAGTCCATAATCATCAGTTAAGATGAATCCATTGCCCTGCAGGCTCCCTCATCAACTTAACGACCCACTGGTCTAAGATTCAGATGCCTCCGTCAGGGGATGACTCAGGGTCATCTTTTGGTTCTGTTTTAGTCAGCACCTCTTTCCCCAGGAGAAAGAATCATCTATCCTATCCATAAGAGGTCAAGTACATATGAGATGTCTTGAGGACTGGTACCGTGTGAGATTGCCTCAATGGTCGTGGAGGTCTGAATGAATTATTTTGGGAGTCCCTGTGATGGAGATTAAGAGGGGACTTTGTGAGTGGTGTTTGAGGGGATATTGTGGATGTGTGTCTCAGAGATTATAGAAGGTTCTTTGGGGGTGTCCTCGTGATTATATGGGGTTGTGTGGGGATTTCCCAGTGATTAAATGGGAGCAGGTGGGTGGGCGTATTGGTGATTAAAAAGGACACTGCAGGGGATAAAAAGAACAGGAGTGCTTGTGGCACCTTAGAGACTAACAAATTTATTTGAGCATAAGCTTTTGTGGGCTACAGCCCACTATAGCCCACAAAAGCTTATGCTCAAATAAATTTGTTAGTCTCTAAGGTGCCACAAGTACTCCTCGTTCTTTTTGCGGATACAGATTAACAGGGCTGCTACTCTGAAAACTGCAGGGGATAGTGTCATTGACTGAGGGGATCTTTTGGAGGGAGCCAATGATTATAAAGGACTCTACGGAGTGAGGTTGTCACAGTGAGTACAGGGGAGTGTTCATATGGGGGGCTTTAGATAGGTGGGTGTCACAATGGATATGAAGCTGGATATGAGTCAGCAGTGTGCCCTTGTTGCCAAGAAGGCTAACGGCATATTGGGTTGCATTAGTAGGAGCATTGTCAGCAGATCAAGGGAAGTGATTATTCCCCTCTATTGGGCACTGGTGAGGCCACATCTGGAGTATTGCATCCAGTTTTGCGCCCCCCGCTACAGAAAGGATGTGGACAAACTGGAGAGTGTCCAGTGGAGGGCAACAAAAGTGATCAGGGGGCCGGGGCACAGGATTTACGAGGAGAGGCTGTGGGAACTGGGCTTGTTTAGTCCACAGAACAGAAGAGTGGCGGGGAGATTTGATAGCAGCCTTCAACTACCTGAAGGGGGGTTCCAAAGAGGCTGGAGCTTGGCTGTTTTCAGTGATAGGAGATGACAAAACAAGGAGCAAGAGCTTTCGTGAGCTACAGTGAGCTGTAGCTCACGAAAGCTCATGCTCAAATAAATTGGTTAGTCTCTAAGGTGCCACAAGTACTCCTTTTCGTTTTGCGAATACAGACTAACACCGCTGTTCCTCTAAAACAAGGAGCAATGATCTCACATTGCAGTGGGGGAGGTCTAGGTTGGATATTAGCAAAAAATATTTCACTAGGAGGGTGGCGGAGGTGGTGGAATCCCCATCCTTAGAGATTTTTAAGGCCCGGCTTGACAAAGCCCTGGCTGGGATGATTTAGTTGAGGTTGGTCCTGCTTTGAGCAGGGGGTTGGACTAGATGATGTCCTGAGGTCTCTTCCAACCCTAATCTTCTGATTCTAATGATTACATAGGGTGTCGTGTATGTGTGGTGTCACAGTGATTATGGGGGTGCTGTGTGTTGTCCCCCACCACCCTTGGTCAGAGAGGGTGTTTTGGGGTGTCACAATGATTATGGGGGCAGGGTGTGGACCCCCCAGTCAGAGGGGGTGTTGTAGGGTGTCCTGGTGATTATGGGGGTGCAGTGAGTCCCGCTAGGCAGAGGGGGTGTTGTGGGTACCACAGTGATTATGGGGGCGGTGTGTGTCCCCCCGGTCAGAAGGGGTGTTACGGTGATTATGGGGGCGCTGTGAGGGTTCTGGGTAACGCGGAGTTGGGAGGCCGCAGCGCCTCGAGTCTCCCGACGGCGGGACGGGCTGAGGGCCAGGGGGCGGGTGTGCGCGGCGCTGCGGGCCCGCCCTGGGGGCGGTGGCTCGGCAGGGCCCGGGGCGGGTCCGGACGCGGCTCTGCCTTAGACAGTCCGTGGCCAGCCCCGGGCTGCCCCTACTTCCCGGGATCGTGTCCGCGCGGCAAAAGCAGCGGGTGAGTCCGGGCGGCTCCTTCGCCAGCTGGGAGCCAACCTGGGGCCAGGCGCCTCGGCCTGCTGCGGGCAGCGCGGCCCGTGTGCCCGCCTCTGCGCCCCTGGGGGCTCGCAGGCACTGGACGGCAGCCCCCATCCCCCCCAGAGCAGCCCCTCTTCCCCCCCGCCCCGGCTCTGCGCCCCCGGGCAGCCCCCTTTCCCCGCGGCTCTGCGCCCCGGGCAGCCCTCTCTCCCCGGGTGGGAGGAGAGGCCTTGGGGCCCTTGCCCCTAACCTCTTTTTTTAGGCCAAGAGGCGGGGGGAGGGGGGACATGGATAATCTCCCAGCCCCTAGGAGCTGGGGTGTTGCGTAAAGTCAGAGTCCTTCTCGTTTGGAGGTTAAAGTTGTCTTTGGCCCTTCGGTGCGCGTGGTGAGGCTGGGGCCTCTCCCAGGGGATGTTGCCGGTCCTCTTACAGCCACCTCCGTGTCCTCTTCTTCCTGGTTTAGCTGTGTCAGTGTCCCTGTGCCCTCTGCCCCAGCTGCTGTTCCACTTAATGACACTCCCCAAGAGGTCTGTGTGTCGGCTCAGGCCCTGCACACTGCTGCTTCCTGCTGGGCTTCCCCAGGCTGGCAGTTTCCCCTGCACTTCACCAGTGGGCAGCTTCTTTCATCCCTGGCTCCCTGTGAAGCCTGTGGGCTCTTCCTGCAGGCTGTACTGGTCCCTGCCTACCCCACAGCCACTTTTTGGTGACTTCCCTGTCTGCTCTGGGTCCTCCTGCCACAGTTCTGCTGGGCTCACTTGCCCCTGCGGCTTCCGAGGTGCTTGTCTCCCTGTTGCCTCTGTAGGGCTACTTCCTCCCATTTGACCTGCAAGCCAACCCCAAGCCCAGTGCTCACACAAACCAGTGCCTGGTCAGTTTCCTGTTCCACATCCCCAGAGCAATCTAGGGGTCACTTTTCTTTGGCACAGTGGATAACACAATACTCTACTAATTATAGTCTGGCCTGAGTTTCTGGGCCAGTCCTCTCCCATCAGGTAACTGGGGAAGGACACCCAATAGGGAGCCAGAAGATGTATTTAAAATCCCATCACTGAGTGGGGTTTCCATTATATCTCCTTTCACAGTACCAATGCGGCATAGAAACAATAGGAGGGGTTGCTCAAGGGTGGGGGAGAGAGAGATGTCACTTTCCTGTGCAAATGCTGCATCCTCTTGTCTGTCTCCTTTTGTCCCACTTGCTGCAGTCAGTACCTTTTTCATTTCAGACCTGCCTGTGCTTTAATCTGAGGCATTGGTTATTGCAGAGATCTTGTAAGTGAAGGAGATGCTGCCAAAATTGATTAGCTCAAATTTGAACCTACCCTGAAATGTATACAACATAAGAAGAAAGGCCTGCAAGATTGTTAATCCCAGTATCTCTGTTGGATGAACTACTTGCAAGAAACCCCTGAGAACTGGATTTGTTGTGGGTATTGCACATACTCTGAGTTCATCCAACTTCTTGTTCCTATGAACTAGAACATTGCTCACAAGGGAGTGGGGTATTCAGATATATAAAAATGTCCATCGTGAGAATCAAAACAAAGCTAACTTTTCAGGTTTCCCAGCTAGGATGGTGTCAAGCATCAGAGGGGTAGCTGTGTTAGTCTGTATCCACAGAAACAACGAGGGGTCCGGTGACACCTTAAAGGCTAATAGATTTAGCCTTTTTTACCCATAAGCTTTTGTGGGTAAAAAAAACACTTCTTCAGATGCATGAAGTGAAAATTACAGATCAGGCATAAATATATTGACACATGAAGAGTAGGGAGTTACCTTACAATTGGAGAACCAGTGTTGAGGGGGCCAATTCAATCAGGGTGGATGTGGTCCACTCCCAGTAACTGATGAGGAGGTGTCAATTTCAAGAGAGGGAAAATTGCTTTTGTAGTGAGCCTCCCAGTCCCTATTCAAGCCCAAATTTAATGGTGTTAAATTTGCAAATGAATTGTAGCTCTGCAGTTTTTCTTTGAAGTCTGGTTTTGAAGTTTTTTTGTTGAAGCTAAGATGGTGCGTATCCTTGTCTACACTGGCAATTTACAGCGCTGCAACTTTCTCGCTCAGGGGTGTGAAAAAACACCCTCCTGAGCGCAGCAAGTTTCAGCGCTGTAAAGTGCCAGCATAGACAGTGCCCCAGCGCTGGGAGCTGCGCCTCTCATGGGGGGTGGGTTTTTTTTTTTTTTTAGAGCGCTGCGCTGCGACCACACAAGGCACGGTAAAGCGCTGCCGCCTCAGACTAGCCCTAATTCCTGTATCTATTGCTCGACTTACAAGGCCATGCTGTGTCAGGATCTGCGTGGTTCTAGGAGTACCTTGTCTGTATTGGCTTCAATTTGAGGGTATGTCTACATAGCAAAAAAACAGGGCAGCAAGTCTTGGAGCCTTGGTCAGCTGACTTGGGCTCATGCTGTGGGGCTAAAAATAGCAGTGTAGACATTCCCATTTGGACTGAAGTCTGGAAGCCTGAGCTCCCAGAGCCTCCCCATCCTCATCACCAGGTTTCAGAGGCCAGCGCCCAGCCCAAGTGGGAACATGTACACTGCTATTTTTAGTTCTGTAATGCGAGTCCCAGTCAGTTGACCCAGACTTGCTGCTGTGTTTGGTTTTGTTTGGTTTTTTTGTAGTATAGACATACCCTATATGAGGACCAAAACTGCATAAATGGAGCTTTCTTAAAGGTGACCTGCAAAGGACACTTACGAAACTGGACTTGTGCTTCCTTCCCCCCACCCCCCCCTTTCTTTTTTGTTCCTTATGATATATAAAGAAGGCTTGAAAAATGTGTTAGGTTTTGTTTCTAAAATGTCCTGCTTTTTTTACCATAGAAGTATCATTACTGTTGAGTGTGATCTACCATGGTTTTAGAGCAGAGGTGGGCAAACTATGGCCCACGGGCCACAGCTGGCCCTTGAGCTCCTGGAGGGGGAGGCTAGCCTGCAGCCACTCCCCTGCTGTCCCCCCTCCCTTGCAGCCACAGCTCGCCATGCTGCCAGCGCTCTGGGCGTTGGGGCTGCAAGCTCCTGCCGGGCAGCACGGCGGTGTGGCTGGCTCCAGCCGGGTGGCGCGGCTGCCAGACATGCTGCTCTGAGCGGCATGGTAAGGGGGCAGCAGTTAGATAAGGGGCAGGGGGTCCTGGGGAGCAGTCAGAGGGAAGGGAGCAGGAGGCAGAGGTTCTGGGGGTGGGAGGGGGCATGGTCAGGGCATGGGGAACAGGGGAGTTGGATAGGCATGGGAGTCTCAGGGGGCTTGTCAGGGGGCAGGGCTGTGAATAGGGGTCGGGGCAGTCAGGGGACGGAGCGGGGGGGTTGGATGGGTCGGAGGTTCTGAGGGGGGCAGTCAGGGGGCAGAAAGTGGGAGGGGGCGGACAGGGGGTGGGGGCCAGGCTCCCCTACCTGGCCCTCCATACAGTTTTGGAACCCCAATGTGACCCTCAGGCCAAAAAGTTTGCCCACCCCTGTTTTAGAGCATAGCTCCAGGACAGTTATTGAGCCCTAACACCTTAAAAGAATCTGTAGAGGTTCTGGCTATTACAAGCCTTCCTTCATTAAAAAGTGTTAGTCATTCAAGTTAAATAGGACTTAACAAAAACCAACCAACCAATGGCTTCTGAACAGTCTTGATTTCTTATTGCAATTACTCAGCTTTCACTCTCAACGATTGTGATTTCACCATTTCATTAGTTCTCCAGGCATCAAGTCTTCCAGCCTGGACAACTGACCCCTGAGCCTGTTTCTCTAATGTCCCTCAATCCAGACATTTTTAATGTGTTATTACCTGGAAGGAAAATGCCACAGTCAAATGCATGAGTCCTTCCCATCTGGAATGAAGGCTGTGCATGTAAGTGTTAATCGAGCATGGTAGGTGGCCATGTGTTGGAAGCCAGAGACTGTTGTGAGGCTAACCGCCTATGAGGGTTACATGAAGTGTAGATGGTAATACATGTGCACTGAGTTTGCTCTGGATATTTGTGGCCTTAACTAGTGATCTCTTTGGTTTGTAGTGATGGTGTTGAAAGGAAATGCTCTTGACTAACCTTATCTCCAGGCTCATGAAATGTTTAATGTGAATTCACATTAAACATTTGTAAAGTGCTGTGAGATTTTTACTGGGCTGGCCCTAGAGAAAGACAAAATACTTAACTGGTTGTAAAGCACCAATGGTAGCGCACTGGGCACTTTGCTGAGAAACGTGCAAACTTCAGGCTCTGTCTCAAAGAGTTTACAGTCTAGATAACTATTATGTGTTATCACTAATTACAATGTAGATTGAAAAAATGAGGAGTCCTTGTGGCACCTGAGAGACTAACAAATTTATTTGGGCATAAGCTTTTGTGGGCTAGAACCCACTTCATCAGATGCATGGAGTGGAAAATACAGTAGCAGGTATATATACACATAGTAGATGAAAAGGTGGGAGTTGCCTTACCAAGTGGGGGGCGGGGGTCAGTCTAACGAGATAATTCAATTAACAGTAGAATACCAAGGGAGGAGAAATCACTTTTGTAGTGGTAGTGAAGGTGACCCATTTCAAACAGTTGACAAGAAGGTGTGAGTAACAGTAGGGGGAAATTAGTATGGGGAAGTTATTTTTTGTAATGACTCATCCACTCCCAGTCTTTATTCAGGCCGAATTTGATGGTGTCCAGTTTGCAAATTAATTCCAGTTCTGCAGTTTAACGTTGGAGTCTGTTTTTTTGTTGAAGAATTGCCACTTTTAAGTCTGTTATTGAGTGACCAGGGAGAGTGAAGTGTTCTCCTACTGGTTTTTGAATGTTATAATTCCTGATGTCAGATTTGTGTCCGTTTATTCTTTTGCCTAGAGACTGTCTGGTTTGGCCAATGTACATGGCAGAGGGGCATTGCTGAGTGTGTTTCTTTATTCATTACTATTAGTTGCCTACTGAGCTGCTACAAGCTTTTGAGTCTTGGAATATGTAGTGGTCTGCATCCTCCTCAATCCTTTGAGCTCAAGTTGTCTCAAGTCTCTTAAGGTCTTGTCTGCTTGGGGAAATTGACTGGCCGTGGCTATTCTAGAATAACTATTCCGCTATAGTTCTTCTGGGATAACTCCCCATGTAAATACTCTTATTCCAGAATAGTTGCTGCATTTTAAATTCA